AAAAACAGGCCACATCAAGGCTCTCCAACAAGGAGGACGAGGAGAGCAGCCTGCCAACCTGCTGCAAGGAAATGGGGTAAAGTAGCAAGCAAGGGTCAGGGCACAGTATCTGCCACCCTATGATGTTGCAGATGCTTCCTGGTTTCCTAACCCTTGGGCTATACGCATTGTACCTCTGTACGCACTCTGAATCCCGCCAGGAGTAGGAAAGATAAGGGTGTTTTTTATATGTAGCACTATTTTCAGCGTAATGAGCACTACTGTTTGCAGCTCTTTCTTAACACGAGCTTGTGTTGTTAACAGTGCTGTACCCTGCCTTTGCATAATTTATGAATGTGTTATCATTAAACCAGTGAAACCCAAGACAAACACTTTTTTTAAAAAGGCATTGTTTGGCTTCTTTATTGAAGAGCAGATCAATAACAATGGGCATCATTATTTATATTTGCCAAAAAACAGTAAGGGAATAGATAAGCGGTGTGGTACTTTTCCAAAACTTTTTACAAAATTTTTCAGAGCTCTTTCAAGAAAAATATGGTGAACAACCATGTGCCTACCACTAAGTTCAACACTTGCTAAAATTGTGCTATTTTTGCTTCATCTACTTAGGTATGCATTTTTTCCTGAACCACTTTGAAGTTGCCAGGCATTAAGACAGTTCCTCTCTCTATATTCAGCATGCATGTTCTAGAAACAGACACTAACATTCATAACCACAATCCTCACACTTAAGAACATTAACTCTAATTCCCTAATATCATCTAATACCCATGCCACATTCAAATTCCTCCAACGGCCTCCAAAATATCTACAATCTAGTCTTTTTGAGCCAGATGTCTTTTGGATCCAATCAAGGTTCATGCATTGCATTTATGTCTCTTTAGTCTCTTTGAATTGAAAAAAGTCCCCCCACCTTTTCTCTCTTTTTTTAAAATGACATTGACTCTTTGAAGAGACCAGCCAGTTGTCTTGTAGAATGCCCCACATTCTGGATTTGTCTGATTGTTTTCTCCACTGAAGCTGTTCCTCTATCTCCTGTATTTCCTATAAACTAAAAGACTAAATATTTGATTAGATTCATATTAAATATTCTGGAAAGAACATGCCACAGTGCAATGTAAGTACTTCACATTGCATCTCATCAAGAGGCACATAATGCCACTGCTATTCATGATGCTACATTTGCTCACAGTGGGGCAGTCAGTCCTTCCACTGGAAAGGTACACTTTTTCCAGTTTCAATGAGTAAGATATCTGTGGGTGATACTCTGCAGAGCACTATACAAATACCCTGTTTCCTTTGCATTTAATGATCTTAGCATCCATTGATGATTTTTGCCTAGATGCACTAGTGGTTGCAAATTAGCAATTTTTCAAATTCTGTCATTCCTTCTACATGTATTGGCTAACATTTTTCTATAATGGACACCTTCCCACACCTGGAGATGAACAACTGCTCCTACTAAAGGGTAGGGTGAAAACCTAATACTTTCTCTCTGATTATAGAGTAAGGAGTCTGTGGAAGATGTGCCTCCAATGGTGGAAATGAGCTTAGCCCCTCTCTCCTTTTGTGTATTGCCGTGGACTCAGATTTTTGTTTATTCAAATGTTACAGTCATTCTGTTTGACCATCAAATTACCTAAAATTTGGCCTGAGGAAGCCCCTTCTAGCTAGCTTCTGTGACCTTTGACACATCCCCATTAATCTTTGAGTGCTTCCTTGGTTCTTGACACAAGAGGTCCCAGGCTCACCTTGGACAGTTCAAGGTCCATACCCAGAATGAGCTATTTCTCCAAGGAGTTCTGGTTCCTCATAGTGGGCAATGTTGGGGACTGAATTTGCACATCACCATGTGTCTTGACATGAGTACAGCCATGTTTGGCCGCTCCATTGACCTATAGCCACCAGCACAAAAAAGAAATACAAAGCTGCTTTCTGTGTGGTGGGAACTGGCCTTTTCTCGGGAACTGGCCTTTCTCCCATGGAGAGAGTTGCAAGTTGTAACATTTCAAGGCTCTTGGAGCGTCGTAGCCCGGAATGGACTGGCCATCTGTGCCAGGCTGAGATGATAACCAAAGAGAACAATGCACGTACACAACTACTGGGCTGGGACGTTAGCCAGGGGGCTCAGTGCACATATGCCACTGATAACCATTTGTGCATGGAAACACTAAATGCTTGCTCTGCAAACTCTAATTGCTTACTCTGAAAATTACTGATGGTATAAAAACTGCTGGAAACTGAGCCCTAGTGAGAGTTCCACCTGTGGAAGGGACACCTTGCCCAGGACGTGTGATCCTTGCCCAGCCGCGTCGATTGACAGGGCTCTCCCGGCAGTGGGGCGTGGATGTTGTGAGTAACTGATTTGATGTGAAGTAATTGATTGATATGAAGTAATTGATTTGATGTGTTCTCTTTTCGGTCAACCTGGTGTTTCTCTTTCCGGTTGATTTGTGTCATTTCTCTTCAGCCAATGTGGGTGTTTTCCCTTGCCAGTCGGGCTGATGTTTTTTCCCTCTTAATATTTGACCTATTTGGATCTGTTTGCAGACTGTCGCCTTTACTATCCTCTATATAATAAAATATACCTTCGGTCCATTTGTTTGGAGTGGAAAGTGTCTTTTACATCTCCGATCGAATCCCCGAACCTCTCATAACACCATGGGGGTACCATTGCTTCTAGGCCCTCTCAGTGGACAGAGCTAGGAAACAGAAAATTTTTAAAAAATAATGAGCAATATTTTAAGTTCATATTTATAATTATAGGAAGTTTTATGTAAATTCTTTGATTTTTATGGTTGTCTCTTCTCTTAAATTGGTTATTTTGGCTCCTAGTAACTTTAACAATTTCTTTTTGCTTTATCTACAATACACACAAAATAGATTCAAAATAACACCAATATTATTAACAAGAAAATTAATGAGTGATGTTTGTAATTTTTTTTAGGTCTTTCTGTCCTTAAACACATCCCATTAATGATGTATAGTCATAATACCATGTTCAGAAGTTTCTTGAAAGAATTATTTTCTCTGTGTGATTGTTACCAATTTGATATAAAATTTAATTGATTTGTCCCTGTTTTCAATTTCATAATCTACTTTTATTTTTTATATTTGAATATGTAAATCATTTACATTTGTTCAAAAGTCCAAATTTCATAAAAAGGTATAATCAAAGAAACCTGTTTCCATCCCTATCTCCACCACCCTGTTCACTCTTGCCTCCAGAGGTATTCATTTTTATTAGTTTGTAGTTTATCCTTCTAATGTTTCTTTTGCAAAAATAAGCATTTGTGTGTGTATATATATATACACACACACACATTATATACTTCTTTCCTCTCTTACACAAAATGTAGCATGCTATATATAGTTTTCTGTATTTTGCTTTTCTCACTTAATAACATGTTGCAGTATGGTACTTCAAATTTGTCAAACATGTCACTTACAATGTATATTGTACTATCAAAATATAAGAAACACTGGTGGCATTTAGTGTGGCTCATGATACTTATTAAGCTATGGAGGGATATTTCCTACTGACAACTATTTTGACATCCACTATGTGAATCAAACATACACAACATGTGTATGCTGCATACTAACACACCTAAGCCTGGCTTACCTTAAGCACACTTCAAGTGTCTAATGCTATCAGCTTGCTACTTGCAACTGGTGTTTCAAAAGGCTTCATATTCCAACAATGAGTATCATTAGCGTTAGATATATCTTATGTCACATTTTCAAAATATACCATATCAGAATCATGACTTCTAGTATTATATTATTTCTAGAGAAAAAAATGTATCCACATTTCCTAAATTGATAGATTTCCCCTCTGTTATTCTTTTCTTATAAAGTTTGACTTTTTTCTTGAAAGCTTTCATGCATATAAAAATTTGCATGTTTTCACTCCAGTATCAATTACCTGATGTTCAATAAGTTGTGACTTTGTAAATGCTTTTCTACTTTTGTTGCATTCTTTGTGTTTTGCTCTGTGATTTCTCTGAAGCATATCTTTGATTAGTAGGTGGATACTAATATACAAGATGTTCTCAGAGATCTCTCTCCATATGAGTTCCCTGATACTAAAGTATGACAAGCAAGTTTTCCAGTATTCAATTCAATCACAGAGAGCCCTCTAAACCCTACCCCATGTGTGTTTTCTGATGCCAACTAAAGACTGAATTTACACAGAAGGAAGTCTCCACGTTATTACATTCATAAGGTTTCTCCTGTGAGTTCTCTATGGTGTGACAAAATTTGACTTCACACAGGAGAATTTTCCACATTTGTTGCAACTTACGGTCTCTCTCTTGTGTGCATTACCTGGTGTTTGGTGAGAGTTGACTTCTTGCAGAAGGATTTCCCACGTTCATTACATTCATAGGGTTTCTCCCCTGTGTGTTCACTGATGTACCGTGAAGGTTGACTTCATCCAGAAGGATTTCCCACATCTCTTACATTCATAAGGCTTCTCCCCTATGTGAGTTCTCTGATGACTGATGAGGTTTGATTTCACATAAAAAGTTTTCCCACATTAATTACATTCAAAGGAGTTCTTCCCTGTGTGTGTTCTCTTATGTTCAATGAAGTGTGACTTCTGGAAGGTTTTTCCACAGTCCTTACATTCATAAGGTTTCTACCCTGTGTGTTTCGCGGATGCTTAGTGAGGTGTGAATTCTGGAAGAAGGTTTTGCCACATTCTTTACATTCATAAGGTTTCTCTCCTGCGTGTATTCTCTGGTGTTGACTCAGGACTGACTTTATATAGAAGGATTTCCCACATTCATTACATTTATAGGGTTTCTCCTCTGTATAAGTTCTCTGGTGTACAGTTAAGGTTGACTTACGGCAAAAGGTCTTCTGACATTCATTACATTCACAGGGTTTCTCTTCTGAATGTGTTCTCTGATGATCAGTGAGGTTTGACTTCATAGAAAAGGCTTTCCCACATTCATTACATTCATGGGGTTTCTTTCCCATGTGATTTCTCTTTCCCATGTGATTTCTCTGATGAATACTGAGAAGTGACTTCACATAGAGTGACTTTTCACATCATTACATTTAAAGGGTTTCTCTCCAGTGTGAGTTCCCTGGTGTATAATTAAGGTTGATTTCATATGAAAGCCTTTCTCACATTCATTACATTCATGTGGTTTCTCCCGTGTGAATTTTCTGATGTTTAGTGAGGGCTGACTTTTTGTAGGACTTCTCACATTCATTGCATCTGTAGGGTTTCTCCTTCGTGTGAATTCTTTGATGTACAATGAGGACTGAATTCATAAAGAAGGATCTGCCACACTCATTACATTCATATGGTTTCAAACCAGTGTGAATTTTCTGATGTTTAGTGAGATTTGACTTCACACAGAAGGTTTTTTTCACATTCATTACAATCACAGGGTTTCTTCCCTGTATGAGATAACTGATGTATAATTAGGGCTGACTTATAGCAGAAGGATTTCCCACACTCAGTACATTTATAAGGTTTCTCTTCTGTATACTTCCCTTGAAGTATGTGTAGAGCTGACTTATAGTAGAAGGATTTTCCACATTCGTTACATTCATAGGATTTCTCCCCTGTGTGTGTTCTCTGATAGTCAGCAAATTGTGACTTTCGTAAGAAAGTTTTCCCACATTCATTACATTTGAAAGGTTTCTCCCCTGTATGTGTTTTCTGATGTTTAGTTAGGTTTGATTTCACACAGAAGGATTTCCCACAATCTCTACATTCATATGGTTTCTCCCCTGTGTGAGTTCTCTGAAGATGACTGAAGTTTGATTTTGCATAGAAGGATTTCCCACACTTGTTACATTGATAAGGCTTCTCTCCTGTGTGAATTCTCTGATAGACTTTTAGGGCTGAGCTATGAAAAAAAGCTTTCTTGCACTCATTACATACATAAATCCTCTTTTCTATGTTCTCTGCTGATCAGTAAGGGTTGACTCACAGGGATTTCATCACATTCATTGGGTTTCTCTCCTGTGTGAGTTCTCTGCAGGTCAGTGGGTTGTGATTCCTGGAAGGTTGTCCCACATTTGTTACTTTCACATGGTTTCTCTCTCGTGTGTGTCTTCTGATGTTGAGTGAGGTGGGACTCCCCATAAAAAGAATCCTTGCAATGACTACATTCAAAGGTTTTCTCTCCTGTCTAAGTTTTATGAGGTTGAGTGAGATGGGACTTCTTGCTGAAATTATTCTCATTTTCATTAGATTCATGAGTTTTCTCCTCCATGTTAACTTTCTGATGTTTAAAGAAGGTTGACTTCTCACACTCAAGTTTGGAGTGATTCTTCCTTGTGTGAGTTTCCTGATGGGCTTTGAGTATTGACCTGTCACTGATATTTTCCCCATGTTCCTTATAATCACAGAATTTCTCTTCTGTTTGAACCTTCTTAGGTATAATGATGGCTGCTTCTTAAGCAAGGCTTCTTCACACTCATTATCTTCAAAAGGTGGTCCCAAAGTTTGAATTTTCTGTTGCTCAATAAGGTCCTCATTATGATTCAGGGATTTCCCATCTTGGTTATATTCATCAGATTTTGTTCCAGTATGAGTATTTTCTTGACTATTATAAGAAGAAAATTCCCACATGCATTAATTTTATCAGCGTTCTTACTTGAATGAGAACAAGTTCTTTTTATCACTACAAATTGATTCTGAAACATCTTTCAAATCATTCCACATGAGGCATAGTGACAGGGTGTTTTTCTGAAAACATTACCTCTCTTCTTAGTCAGTGTTTTTTTTGCTGATGAGTGAGACTTGCCACAAATGTTTATCTTGGTTTTCCTGGCTTCTGTTTATAAGGTCACAAATAAGAAAAATTAAGTATACTGTAAAAATGTTAACACATTTCCTATATAAGTATAATTTATTATATCACTGATTCTCAATTTTCAGGCCTAAGCTCCCAGGATGAAATCCCAAGCGTATATTTTTCCTTGGACCAGAAAAAAAAAAACAACAACACCTAATATAGTGGAAAAGGGAGAGTAAAACTACAATGAACACACACATATTTGCTATTTTAAAAATAAGACCTTCAGAACTAAAAAGAGAAAGGGAAACAAACACAAGGAACAGTGAACCAAGGAAAAAGCATGATAGAAACACTGACAGAGGGGCCGGCCGTGTGGCTTAGTGGTTAAGTGTGCGCGCTCCGCTGCTGGCGGCCCGGGTTCGGGTCCTGGGCGCGCACCGATGCGCCGCTTCTCCGGCCATGCTGAGGCCACGTCCCACATACAGCAACTAGAAGGATGTGCAGCTATGACATACAACTATCTGCTGGGGCTTTGGGGGAAAAAATAAACAAATAAAATTAAAAAAAAAAAAAAGAAACACTGACAGATAATTGGGTGAACCCAACAAAAGCTATGACAGGAAGTAGAGTGACACATATTAGTATACGTGGATGTTCAGGAGAAATATCACAGGAAGTCTTAGGTATGAGATAAAACGGGTTATCTACATCTATATAGAAATAGCCCACTATCTCTATGGCAATTGACAAAATAAGATTTATATTCATTGTTCAAGATATTCTTACAAAAATACACAATAAACATTTTTTTAAAGATCCATTCCCAATCACAATTCACAAGTCTGATACAGATTCTGACACTCAGCTAGCCTAATTTTCAGCTTTGTTTCTACTAAAAACTCAGATGTCCTCCAGGAAATGTATGTTTCCCTCTACCCTCCCTCCCTCTCTCTCATACACACACATACTTTTTTCAAGTCATCCCTCTTAAACTCCATTATTTTGAACGTTGAAAGTAGTCACTACCTATACTTTTCATTGACACATTTTTTAAAGCAATAACTTTATCCAAATAGCACTTGATAACACTGAATTTCAAACTCTATCACACAATTTTGTTTGCCTCTCCCAACTACAATCTATGCTTTTAACAAGTTTTAATGTATCCCCACTTGCGTTTGAATCCCTCTGAGTAGATACACGGTTGGTGGCCCTCAACAAGCAGTATGCATCAGAATTACCTGGAAATTTTTCTTCGAAACAGGGTATAGATTATCATGGCCCCATGTCAGTCTATATACTCTATGAATCAGAACCTATAGGAATGTGATGTAGGCCTATGTACGCAGGAAATGCTTTCTGATTAGATAAACATATCTATCAGTATTAACAGATAAACATATTATATATTACACATCAAAGTAAGGACGAGTAAAAAAATGAGACCTTTCAGATGCGGACAAAAGCCTTAGGCAACACCAGATGCTCTCAGGTGTCACAGTATATGATCAAGTCTGAGTTTCTTGTGGCTTAGCCACTAAGAAATTGGAATGGGAATTCTAAGAAGGGAGAGATTACTGTTGGTTAGAATAATTAAGAAGCACTTCAAAACAGAGGTAAAATCTTTAGCTAACACATCAAATATGTGTAAAAATAAGTACAACAAGCATTAATTATATGGCAGGTATAGTTGTAAGCCCTTTCTTAAGGATCTGGAGGCAAACCTCAAGAAGAGGTGCAGATGTGGGGAAGATGTATGAGTAATATTTAGGCGGCTGGGTCAAATGGAACTTATCATGAGTTTTTGAGTGACATCAACAAAAAAGAGATGAATATGGACCTATCGTGTTAAGAAGAGGTGCCTTAAGTAATAGAGGGCAACCCAAGGTTTATATAAGGCTAGCAACAAGACAAAATGGATGTTTTACATTTAAAAATATATACTTAGAATTAGGAATGAAATAAAGCATCAGAGAATAAGGATCTGGTTTTGAGTGAGGTCACTGGAAGGTAAGAATAAAAGCTGTAGAAGACAGTTTTCAAAGGAAAATAAAAAATAAGAGGAACTATGGAGAGATCAGTATTACAGGGATTTTCATGGTTGTCACATATGGGACAAGAAAAATGGTAGAGCCTAATTAAGTGGAAATAAGGAATGTGAGAAGATGTACAATTTGGAAGAAATGATTTTGGGGTTTTTGCCATATTGGCAATGAAAGGACTGGAACACCTCAGGTAAAATGGAAAGTAGAGTGCCGATGAGACCGAGATAGAAGAAGCAGGAATTTTTCAAGCATCAGGTAAAGCAAAAAGCTTAACTCTTAGCAATGGAGGAGGCACTGGGGGAGTATTACAGAGAAGGAACATGGGAAGACCTAGTCTTGATGAATCTTCCCAGAAGAAAGAGTGATCATGTGATCAAAACTGCTTAATTTTTGCCAAATTTGAAGCTATAAAATGCTATTTCAGTGTCATACTTTTTATTTCTCTGATTACCATAAATTGTAGATATTGTCATTTATTATTTGTGTTTTTGTTTCCTATTTGTGTCTCCTTTTCACCTAAGTGTCTTTTGTCCATTTTTCCATTGGGTTGTTTGACTTTTTAAAATTAATTTGTAGGAGTTCATTATTCAACAAACTTTTATTGAATGCTAAAATGAGGTTTGCACTATCCTAGACAGTGGAAACAGAGACATGAAAAAAACTCTGTTCTCGTGAAGTTTACATTCTAGTGCAAGGAAGCAGAAACTCAGTAAAATGACTAATGTAAAATACCTTATTTCAATTTCTACTTGAAAAAAAAGCCATGAATACATTTTAGATATTAAGCCTTTGCTGGTTATATGTATTATAAATAACTTCTCTCACTTTATACCATGTCTTTTGAATTTTTTATCGTGCTTTGTGATGAGTGAATGTTCTTAATATAATTAATCTATATTTATCTTCTATAAACAGTATTTGCATGCTGTTTGGGAAATCCTTTCCTAAGGACTGTACATACATGATGATATATATATATATACACCAAGAGCACACATATATTCCCCTATTTTTATAGAGTTGTAAACATATTCCACTACACTTTCTGCTAAAGGTTTTATATATTTTACTTTTAAATTGATTTTTGTATAATAGTAAACGACAGAAATGTTTTCCCCCATATGGCTAAATAATTTTCTCAACATTACTTATTGAATAATCTCCCCTTTGGCTGTTCTCTCACACGTCTGATTTCAATATGTGTGGAGCTGGTTCTGGGATCTTATTTCTGTCCATTTATTTTTACACCAATATCACACTCTTAATTACTACAGCCATGCAACTAGCATTGACATATGAGAGGACAAGCTCCCCAACCTAGTTTTTCTTAGCCTTCAAAAGTACTTTGGTTATTTTGAGACTTTGTTCCTCCACACAAATTTAAAATTTTATATCTAATAATGCTAAAATCTGAAGTTATTTATGTTTTAATTCTGTTCTGATATTCAATCTCCACTGTTAGGCTTAGTTCTCAGTTAAACAAACCAGTACTCAAAAATAGTCTTCTGCTATATTATATTTTACCATTTCTGGATTGAAGTTCATTTACTAGTAGATTCTTTAACAAGAATTCATGATTATTCATGAATATTTCCCTGCATTCTTGCATATTCAAACTTATTTTATTGCTGTTACTGTGACTGAATGACATTTTGTCTACATATAAAATTACTGAAATTTACTTTTAGTCTTTAAGGATGTTGTAATTCTTTCCCCACTGCTTTCAGCAGAATGCTATTATGAATGTCTGAGATCAGCTTGATTTTTTTCTCTCTTTTAAAAATGACTTAATTCAAGTTCTGAGGATCTAATGTACAGCATGGTGACTATAGTTAATGATATGATTGTATACTTGAAAGTTGTTCAGAGTAGATCTTAAACATCCTCACCACACACAAAAAATTACCTATGTTAACTATGTAAAGTGATGAGTGTGTTAATTATCTTGATGTTGCTAATCATTCTACAACATATATGTACATCAACTGATCAGGTTGCACAATTTAAATATATACAACTACATTTGTCAATTATTCCTCAATAAAGTTTTAATAAATGACTTAATTCTTTGGTTTGGCAGACCAAAAAGAATCTTTCTTTAAAAATCTAGTAACTTCCCTAGGATAAATCATGGTGGTGACCACTGTGAGTTACTTTCCCATAAGTTACTCTGTCCTTCTCATATAGATTCTAGTCTTCTTTTTTTTTCTGCTCAGGAAGATTCGCCCTGAGCTAACATCTGTCCCAATCTCCCTCTATTTTGTATGTGGGTCGCTGCCACAGCATTGCCGCCACCGAGTGGTGTAGGTCTGCACCCGGGAACCAAACCCGGGCCACCAAAGCGGAGCACGCCAAACTTAACCACTAGGCCATGGGGCCAGCCCTTCAGTCTTATTTTATATCAGGAAGTTTTTCCTGAAATATATCTTTAAATATTTGTTCTAGTCAATTAATTTTGGGTTCCTACTTTGGGGACTGAATTGTGTATATGTGGAAACTCTTTTTTCAGTCTTCTACATATAATCCTCTTTAACTTATCAATTTCCAGTTCATTTGCTCACTTTCTCTATTTCCCTCTTACAGGTCCCTTACTGTGTTTTCAGCATCCTTGTGTTCCTTACAATTTCACACATTTTATTGTTAGGATGTTTTTTATTCCAATCCATTTCTGAGCATTGGAAGCTTACAGATAATCTCCCATCCTATGATCTCTTCCATCTCTCACCTAAGTTATTACAGCTCCTGTGCACTTTTGCATCATAAAGGCAATTGCTTCATTAAGCTATGAAATATTCATAGTGAAATACTTGGTCATAATATTTATCTCTTCTATAAAAATATTTTGCAGGTGAGTGTTCTTCACTTACTACTTCTTTTTGACTTTTCTTTTTTTCTATTTCTCTCTCTATTTTTTTTCTTATGAAAACTTCTGTGCATCCTGCACTGGCTGCTTAGGACCAAGGACTTTAGATTGAATTTAAATAGCTTCTATTTCTCCCAGAAAATCCCTGGGCATTTTCACATTCAAAGTCTCTTTTATCCCCAAACTGCTACAAAAACAAATTCTTTATGCAGCTAAGGCTTATGTGTGTGATTCCACCCTGAACCCCCCTCTTCTGCTTCTTAGAACCAAAACGGGTAATAAGGAAGTTCCTGCCACAATCTTGTTCAGTCCCTTCCCGATGTTTTGATAAGGGTTATGCACCTCACATTTCCTTCTGAGGTCAGCAGCCCTGGAAGTCCCTCTCTGGTTCCAGGTGCATGTACACAGCTTTATTTTTAATTGCTTTCAACAGTTCTTCCACTTATGTCATAGTTGCAAGTTTAGCTATTTCTCAGATTTGTAGAAAACACAAGTCTGCAACTCATTTCTCAATCTCCTAGTTGGTTTTAGATGGTTTACAGGAAGAGAGGGGGGAAATGCTGACTTTGCATTTCCATTTTCAAATCAGAAATTCATTGTTTCCTTCTTGAAAAGTACCTTTCTTGGCCTCCAGGATATACTCTTTTGGTTTCCTTCTATCTTACACACATGACTTCTAAGTGTTGTAAGGCCCTGGGTTTCAGCCTCTTTTCTTATCTAGCTACATCCATTCCCCCAAGGCACTGTCATCACTGCACACCATCTTTTACCTCACGACTTTCAAATTTCGCCTGCACTCCTGTCTTCTCTCCAACTCCAGATTTAAATGTCCAAGTGCCTCATAAATGCCTAAATTTGAATAATTAATAATCATCTCAAATCACTGAAACTTCTAAAAGTAACTTCTTAAAAAATTTTCCCCAAACTGCTCCTGCCCAATTTTCCCATCTCAGTAAATACCTCCCACCTCCATCATCACATTGCTCAGACTAAGTACTGAGGTTGTCCTTGCCTTCTCTCTTTCTCTCACACTCCACACCCACTCCAAAAGCAAATCCTACTGGATATACTCTCAAAACATGTAGCCACATTTCATCACCTCTACCACCTCAGAAGTCTAAGCCTCCATCATTTCTCATCTGAGCCACTGCAAATATCTCTTCACTGTTGAGAGCTGAAACCATCAACACCCACACTGCTTACAGCTACATTAACTTGACTACTATTCTACAGTCTTTGTCAACAGGACTTTATTATTCCAGGAAACTCTTGCCCATGAAGCTAAAAGTTGCAAATGATTTTACTGTTCATTTCAGAAGCTTCCCCAAAACCCTTTTAAACAAACCCCTCAATTTTCCAATAGATACTAAACTGTTCATTCACCAAGACCCTTCAGTCCTTGTTCTGTCCATAAATCTTAAACTATTAAGTTTAAGTACCCAGTGGTACTCAAACCCCTCCATTAAAAAATATAACTTAAACCATACCCTCAAATCTCATAAATAATCCAACTTTGTTCACTCTCCTCCAAGATGCTACTAAGACTGTCAGGACAAGCAATACATTCAAATTTGCCTATCAAATGGTAGGTGGTATGTTGGAAAAACCAACATTTCACATTGCCTTTCTGTTTCTACTGTCGTCCACCACCTCTGCCGTTTCCAATATTCTCTGTACAGTAGTCAGAGAAATTCTTTTAAAACATATTCTTTTGCGGAAATCCATTAATTGCTACCTATCACACCCAAAATGAAGTCAAAGCCCTTACCATGTCCTGTAAAATATCACTTGGCCTCTGTCTTCCTCTCTGATGTCATTTCCTACCAGCATGCCTCTCAGATACTTTCCTGCTTCCCTCCCACACTGGCCTCTCTGCTATTCCCAGAGCACTTCCAACAAAATCCTGCCACAGAACTTGGCCTGGCTGTTCCTTTTGCTTGGAACCCCCAGAATCCACATGTCTCACTTCCTCACTTCATTCAACTATCTGCTTTAATACTGACCTCATCAAAAAGGCATTCTCCGACCACCACTTAAAAGAGCACATCCCACTGTCTCTCTCCTGTTAGCCTGCTTTAATTCTCTTCCTCATTCTTGTCACCACTTGACACGTATATTTATTTATTTCGGCCTATCTCCTCCTGCTAGCTTGTAAGCTCTAAGACCTTAGGGACATTGCTGGGTTCACCGGCATATTCCCAACACCAAGAACATGAGTGGCACATAGGAGGAATATCTGCAGAATTAATTAATTAATTAGTGCCTGGGAGGAAAATAAAAAGAAAATAGTCCATTAAAATGGAGGGAAAAATGAATACTAGAGAAAGAGAACCAAAAACAAAGGTTTAAGATGAGGCAGGCAGGGGTTCAATACTGGGTACAAGAATGGTCAACTTTCCTAAAAGTTAGGCAGAAAAGGAAACCATTTGTATTCAAGAATGATGAACAGAAGGGCCATTCAGGTTATCTGGGGCATGCTGGCTCGCTGTTCAGTTACTTCCAAAGGTCTGAGGGCCCTAAATGGAATTATTGAGAAACAAACCAAAGGTCCTAACCTCAGAACCAACACATCTGGGATCTGATTTCCACTGGCTTCTTTTTTTTGCCTGGTAATGACTAACTCACCTGGATCACTCAGGTCTGGGAATTCTCTCTCTAATGGCAACGGCTCTTCTCCTTGCTCCAACTTGATGATCACCTCTGGTTTGGTGACTTGATACTCTCTGAGTGAGATATGGGGTGAGACTTCTGACAAGCCACTTGGACATCAGGACTCCTGAAGAACGAGGAAGGTACAGCTTCAGGAGACACATGATAAAGGTGCCCATTTGAACTATTCATTAGGGAAGTGAGAACACAAACATTCTTTCTGTGCCTAATGGGAACAATCATCTTTGACCCATGAGATGTACACACAAATATCATTAAACTCCACCAAAGGCCCATAAATTTTGGCAGCTAAGAAAGAAAGAAACGAAATGCATGCTATGAGGCATTACACAGGGAAAACTTCTCACCTACTGAGATCAAGTGGCTGTAGTTCTCCAGCATCATGTCCCGGTACAGAGTCCTCTGCATACTGGTCAGTTATAGCCACTCATCCTGGGTGAAGTCCACAGTCACGTCCTTGGATGACACAGACCCCTGACCAGCACATTTCTACTCAAGCCAAAGAGATCAGTATTGGGTGACATGAAAAAGATATGTGGGAAATAATTCTTAACATGTTTATTTTGAGAGTTTACCATAAACATTATATAGGTTGCCTATTCTGTACTTTGTTTTGTATTTTACTTTGTGGGATGAAGTGATATCATGATAGGAAAATCCAAACAATGCATTAACTTATTAATTTAAACAAAAAAAATTAAAGTTCCTACCCTGTGTCTGAAACTGTCCTAGCTTGCCAGTAATATTAAACTAAATCAATCTTTTTTTTCCTCTGGAAGGAGCTTAAATCCTAGTAAGGAGACAAATCATATTTATGAACATTTATTCTGTAATAAGGTATTATTAAAGCTATGCTAGAATCATTTATAATCAATGTTAAATAATTGTAGAAAATATGGTTCTATTTTGTATGCTTAGGTTGGGCTTCACTGAATAGTAGATCTTCATTAATGTGGCACCATCACATAAGCAAAGTCAAAGAGGCATGACAAACACATAGCAGTATAACAGGAGAACAGGGCTTAGGGCTATGAGAAGATAAAGAGCTGCAAAGGTATTCAGGAAAACATTATGGAGTAATTCTGGACTTATTCCTATAGTTTAGTGGTCTCCAAAATACTTCATCACCACCTAGCAATAAAGTTTTGAGCACTCCCAATGTATTTATTTTTTAATAAATAATATATACATCCTGCTAATCTACACAATAAGGATAAATGTAATTTATCTCTTTTTCCTCCAGTTGAAAGTTAAATATAGGGGCTGGCCTGGTGGCATAGTGGTTAAGTTCGAGTGCTCCACTTTAGCAGCCCGGGGTTTGCAAGTTTGGATCCCAGATACAGACCTATGCACCACTTATCAAGCCATGCTGTGGCAGGCATCCCACATATAAAGTAGAGGAAGATGGGCATGGATGTTAGCCCGGGGCCAATCTTCCTCAGCAAAAAGAGGAGGATTGGCAACAGATGTTAGCTCAGGGCTAATCTTCCTCACCAAAAAAAAAGTTAAATGTAGACAACCGATTGTTTTCCTCCCACAGGAGAAGAAAACACTGGAGTATCCTGTGCCCTCCATAGGTGGTAGGTGTGACTACTGAAGACAATAAAGAGCCAATGAAGATATGCAAGCAATTACCATTATAGGTATAATGTTTACATTAAAAAACAAAAAAGATCCCAAATCAACAACCTAACTTTACAACTTAAGGAACGAGAAAAAGAAGAACAAAGTAAACCCAAACCTAGCAGGAAGAAGGAAATAATAAAGATTAGAGCAGAAATAAACAAAATAGAAAATAGAAAAATAACAGAGAAAATGAAACCAAAAGGTGTTTTTTTGAAAAGATGAACAAAATTGACAAACCTTTACCTAGATGGACTAAGAAAAAAAGAGAGAAGACACAAGTTACTAAAATCAGAAATGAAAACAAGGACATTACTACTGATTCTGCTGAAATAAAAAAAAATCATGAGAGTACTAGGAACAACTGTATGCCAACAAATTGGATAACCAAGATAAAATGGACAAACTCCTAAAAACACAAAACTTACCAAGACGAAATGACAAAACTAATAGACAATCTGAATAGACCTATAATTAGTAAGGAGATCGGATCAGTAATCAAAAACATCCCAACAAATAAAGGTCCTGGACCTGATAGCTTCACTGGTTCATTCTACCAAACATTTAAAGATGAGCTAATACCAATCCTTCTCAAACTTTTCTGAAAAATTGAAGAGGACCAAACACTTCCTAACTCATTCTGTGAGGCCAGCATTACCCTGATACCAAAGCTAGAAAAAGATGCTGCAAGAAAACTAGAGACCAATATCCCTAACAAACAATGATGCAAAAATTCTCAATAAAATTCAGCAGCATGTTAAAACCAAATTCCGCAGCATATTAAAACGATTATATGCCATTACCAAGTGGAATGCAAGGATGGTTCAAAATACAAAAATCGATCAACACAATACCCCACATTAACAGAATAAAGGCAAAAAAAACACATGATCATCTCAATTGATCCAGAAAAAGCATCTGAAAAAATTCAATACCCATTCATGATAAAAAACACTCAGCAAATTATAAATAGTAGGAAACTACCTCAACATAATAAAAGTCATATATGAAAAACCCACAGCAAACATCATACTCAATGGTAAAGACTGAAAACTTTTCCTCTAAGATCAGGAACAAGACAAGGATGCCCACTTTTGCCACTTCTATTCAGGATAGTATTGGAAGTTCTAGCCAGAGAAATTAGGGAAGAAAAATTTTTTAAAAACATTCCAATTGGAAAGGAAAAAGTAAACTTTTCTCTATTCACAAGTGATATGATCTTATATGCAGAAAACCCTAAAGCGTCCACAAAAAAAGGTGTTAGAGCTAATAAATGAATTCAGCAGAGCAGCAGTGTACAAAATCAACACACAAAAAACCACTGCATTTCTATACACTAACAGTTAACAATTTGAAAAGGAAGTTACAAAAACAATTCCATGTACAATAGCATCAAAAAGAATAAAATACTTAAGAATTAACAAAAGAAGTGAAAGACTTATACAGTAAAAACTACAAAACATTGCTGAAAGAAATTAAAGACAAAACTAAATGGTAATCCCATGTTCATGGATTGGAAGACCTAATACTGTAGAGATGTCAGTACTAACCAGAGCAATCTACAGATTCAATGCAATCTCTATGAAAATCCCAAAGACATTTTTTACAGAAATAGGAAAACCCATCCTAAAATACATATGGAATCTCAAGGGACCCCAAATACCCAAAACAATCTTGAAAAAGAAGAGCAGAGCTGGAGGACTCACACTTCCTGATTACAAAACTTATTACAAAGCTACAGTAATCAAACCAGTGTGGTACTGGCATAAAGAAAAACACACAGACCAATGAAATAGAATAGAAATCCCAGAAATAAACCCTCACATATATGGTAAAATGATTTTTGACAAGAATGACAAGATCATTCAATGGGGAAAGGACAGTCTTTTCAACAAATGGTGCTGGGAATATTGGCTATCCACATGCAAAAGAATGAAGTTGGACCCTTACTTAACACCATACACAAAAATTAACTCAAAATGGACCAAAGACCTACATGTAAGACTTAAAACTATAAAACTCTTAGGAAAAAAACATAGAGCAAAAGCTTGGTGATACTGGATCTGGCTATGATTTCTTGGATATGACACCAAAGGCACAGGCAACAAAAGAAAAAATAGACAAATTGGACTTCCTGAAAATGAAAAATTTTGTACATCAAAAGACACTATCAACAGAGTAAAAGGCAACCCACAGAATGGGATAAAATATTTCCAAATCATATATCTGATAAGGGATTAATATCCAGAACATATAGAGATTAATATCCAGAACATATAGAAAACTAGTAAAACTCAACAACAACGAAAATCCCAAACCTCCAACTAAAAAATGGGCAAAGGACTTGAATAGACATTTCTCCAAAGAAGATACACAAATGGCCAATAAGCACACAAAAAGATGCTCAACGTCACTGATTAGGAGAATGCAACTTAAAACTACAATGAGAGAGCACCTCATACACATTATGATGGCAATTATAAACACACACTAACACACAAAATAACAACTGTTGATAAGGATGTGTAGAAATTGGAATCCTTGTAAACTGTTGGTGGGGATGTGAAATGGTATAGCCACTATGGAAAAGAGCGTGGCAGTTCCTCAAAAATTAAAAACAGAATTACCACATGACCCAGCAATTCCACTTCTGGGTATATATGGAAAAAAAAAAGTGAAAGGAGGGTCTCGAAGAAATATCTCAACACCCACGTTTATAGCAGCATTATTCACAAAAGCTAAAATGTGGAATCAACCCAAGTGTTCATCGAGAGATGAATGGATAAGCAAATGTGATATATACATAAAATAGAAGATTATTCAGCCATAAAAAGGAAGGAAATTCTCACATACGCTACAAAATGGATGAACCTTGAGGGCATTATGCTAAGTGAAATAAGCCAGTCACAAAAGGATAAATACTGTATGATATCACTCATATGAGGTACTTAGAATAGTCAAAATCATAGAGACAGAGAACAGAATGGTGGTTGCCAGAGGCTAGGGGGAGGGAGGAATAGAAAGTTATTGTTTAATGGGTATAGAGTTTAAGTTTTACAAGATTAAGATAGGGGGATAGGTGATTGTGATGATTACACAACACTATGAATATATTTATTTAATACCACTGAACGGTACACTTAAAAATGGTTAAAATGATAAATTTTATATGTGTATTTTACCACAATAAAAAATCTTGGAACAAACTACATTAAAAATAAAAGTAAAACTCCTCCCCCAAAATGTACATGGATGGAAAAAGATATACCATGCTAACACTAATCAAAAGAAAACAGGAGTAGCTGTATTATTTTCAAACAGAGCAGACTTCAAAGTAAGGAAAGTTATCAAGGTTAAAGAGGGGGCATTCATAATGATAAAGAGGTCAATTCTCTAAGAAAGATAAAAATCCTTAACATGTATGTGCTCAACAACAAAGTGTCAAATACATCAGGCAAGGGGCAACCTGGTGGCATAGTGGTTAAGTTCATGTGCTCCACTTTGGTGGCCCGGGGTTTGTGGATTTGGATCCAGGGCACAGACCTACGCATTGCTGATCAAGCCATGCTGTGACAGGCATGCCATATATAAAGTAGAAGATGCCCATCCTTGCTCATGCCCTCTAGAAGATGCCCATCCTTGCCCTTCCTCTAGAAGTTGGGCATCGATGTTAGCCCAGGGACAATGTTCCCTAGCAAAAAGAAGAGGATTGGCCATGGATGTTAGCTCAGGGCTAGAATTCCTCACCAAAAAACCAAATATATATATATATATGTCAGGCAAAAACTGATAAAACTACATAGAGAAAGAGACAATCCACTGTTACAGTTGGAGCATTCAACACCCCTCTATCAGAAATGGACAAA